TTATCTATTTAATTCTCGAAAGAGTTACTATTTAATTCTCGAAAGAGTTACTACTTAATTCTCGAAAGAGTTACTATTTAATTCTCGAAAAGGAGTTTATTATCATTATATATACTTTAATTGACACGTGGGAACTTAGAAATGTTGTATGTTCAGAAAATTACTTCCATACACTCACCCTTTCATTGCTTACGTGGTATGTAATCCAGTGGCTGGCTATACAGGGTAGCACTGAAGTTGGAGAAACAAAGGAAACACAAAACTTCCAGGAAGGGTTTTATTAACAATAAACAAAACAAACAAGCAAAATAAAAACACAACGGCTCGACGACATTATTAATTAATTGATTCAATCGCGACAGCGTACCGAGATTCAGGGAATGTGCGCTCTATACAACATTTGGAAAAACTATCAAAATTAATTAATTAGCCCGAGACTTTAACGTTAATAATTAGTCTGCTTAATGTGAAACCTAAGAACGAACTGCCGTTTTCTTGCAGATCCTTCTCGAATTCCTTAATTCGCTTTGACCACGCCCATTTCTTGGGTCCAGAAGTTTCGGTTCCTATCTTATTGGCGAGCTCCTGAATATCGGGACGCTTGTATATTTATCTAATTGACTGAATTTACATTTATAACAATAATTATATGACTTACTAGTAACCCTAGCCTTCCCCTACGACTCCGCGTAGCAATTACGGGACGGATTAGTCGATCTCATTTAATCTACTCTTATAGCTAGGAAAAATCCGTCAAAAAAAAACAGCTGCTTAGGTATACTCTCTTTTCGAATTACTAGCAATTTTACAATATAATTTAATTCTAAAGTGGAATCTCTACGCTCTTTTTGTGGTTTCGCGCGTTATTAAAAAGATGGGGTTCTACGCGGCTCCTCCCAGACGCTTAACACATGGCCTCGACAGTCTAAGTGAACTTGTTAAAATATTGGTAATTTTCTCCGAAGGACTGTCTTGGCGACCTACTACTTGAAAACCATTAACCCTCCGATAATTTATGATGACTGAAATATCTTACTTTCCGAGAACTAATAAATAAATGACTGCGCGTCCCGGCTTTTGTTACAATATCTTCACATGTCCCTTCACTACTATTGCCACTCGGCAGTGTTGTCAACAGACCTTTTGCCTTCGTACTAGATCCATCTTCAATTTCGTAATAGATTTACATATTTCTTCAGTCATTAAATAAACAAGCTTTTATAAATTTTTATTTGTTTATCTTTATAATAATGTATTATCACAAGATTTCTATGTTACTCCTCACGATATAAAAAAAGTTGCCACTGGGTTGGCAGTATTCAAAGTAATCTTAGGAAATTTAAAATTTTGTGGGGTCACTTATACGGCGTGAGTAAGGAAAACAAGTAGGTACTTTCTAACGCTTTATTATTCAACCTTACACTGTAGAATATTATCGATAGACTGACTTGAAATACTCCCCACGGTCGACCTAGGGCTGCTAAATATCTGTCAACCGTGGGTCGTGAACGTGCCTTCTAGGAAGTGCCGTTGTATTTTCAACCCTTATAAATTCTTAGTAGGCCGGCTATTACGGTTGTCAGGTACCGGCCGCTACACATAATTAAGATGTAATCAGTAGTAAATAAGTAAATCATAATTAAGATGTAATCAGTAGAAGATCGTAATACCGGCCGCTATAATTTAATTGCTAACATATTTTGATATCGCTAACCTTTATTTAACAATTTAATAACCAGGTTATGATGGAATATTATTTGAATTTTCAACCAATTTCAAGATTTTTATTTTATCCTCTATACCGATATTACCGATTGTGACAGAAATATGTCGTAGCTGCAATCGAAATTCGAAACGCAAACATTATAAGTATGTTTTGTGACGCAAGCCGTGATATTTCAAGAGGTTACATTTCACTTGAATGGCAGATCAGTAATAAAGGTTACAATGAGGCTACTTTAAATTTACAGAAATACATTCCATAAAATGACATCACCTGTTAATATTAACAACAGACTGGTAATTAAAGATAAAAATTTGGGCAAACGATAAAACGTAATAGATTTTGTGAGTGGTTTATTAGTGTAATAGGAAACCTTGAATCTTAAAACAATGCTAAGCCTTAGATAGTAATAGATCTAGTATAGTCTTTCCGATCTCAATTGAAGAAACAAGAGGTTTTCTATTTGGAACACTTATTTATATTTATTAACCTCATCCAGTATAGATGTGGATCACATGCAAGTGCATTCCAATTTTTAGGTGGAGCAAATTATCAAACCTTAGTATTTTATAAACGGTAATATCGCTGCTGTCACGATAAATTACCTATTGGGACCTTTAGGCAAATACCAATGTCTACATAAACTCACAATAACCATTACGAGAAGTAAGTGGGTACAATAGACAAAAAAGTCGAATATTCAACAATCAAATAAAATAAAATACAAAAATTATATACAACTACCTGACCCTACAGAAGTTGTCCTGTCCAAATTTCAATAAAATTGTTTGTGATCGGCACTTTCAATTTTTCCCGAATTTTCCAATTTTCCGTGCAACTTTTCCAATTTCTCTTTCCCTAAAAACCTTATTCGCACTATTACGAGCATAACAAAAAATATAGCAAAATCAGTCCAGCCGTTCTCAAGTGATGCGCTTACCAATGAGCGTCATTTAATTTTTATTTATATATATTAGTAAGTTCGAATTATAAGTAGATACTGTGTTTTTGTAATATTAGATATATAAAACTTCGAAGGTACCATTTGAGTTCCTTCATTCAAATATACTCTACATATACCGTGACAATATTCTGCTGATGATTAGTGGAAAATTTATTTTTGATATTTATAGAAAATGCTTCAAAATTTGCCTAGTCAACGATTTTTTAATAAAATGTAAATCAGTTAAAACCACTTTAATTTAAAGTGCTGATATAATATTTTTTCCACTGTTGTATGTTCTTTATAAAAAATAATTATTATAAAGATAAAGATAAAACTAAGTATATGTGCGAACACTTGAGTTTTTACCGAATAAAAAAATATCAGTTCCAGATTCTATAAATTGAAAAGCATGTTCATTATCGCTATTAGTTCGAAATGATGAAGTACAACGGGCTGCTGCTACTGATTTTATGTGCAATAAGATCATCAGTAGCAGATGTAAGTAATTATTGGTTTATTTAAATATATCGAAGTTTTGTAAATTTAAAATGTCTTTATGTAGTTACTAACATCTATGTATAAGTACCACAAAAATCACATATTTATTCATAAATAGGTAAATGACCCGACACTTGTCACTTTACCAGAGGGCCAAATAAGAGGTCAAGCCCTGCAGTCTCCAAATGAGAATGTTTATTATGCATTTCAAGACATACCTTACGCAGCTCCACCTATAGGCAAATTAAGGTTTCAAGTAAGGATGTAAACATATATATTTTGCATTTTATTTTTAACTTTCAATTCACTTTTAGGCACCTGTAGCGCCAGCAAAATGGGAAGGAATATTAAACACCACGAAAAATGAAAAAATTTGCTATCAAAGTGGAGTTCCGGTTTCCGGATTAACCCTAACGGAAGACTGTTTGTACTTGAATGTTTACACTCCTCTGGTAAGAATAGTTACAATTAACTGATACTGGAATTATTTTAATATCAGAAATATTGGACATTGTTATCACACTCTTGTTGCCGATGTCTATCACTATTACTATTATTTGGTTCGATTCAAAGAAAAAAATAAAACATTAATAAATATGAGTTTAGGGGACCACCTAGTCGGGTGTCATAGCCGATGGATTTCGATCGGCCGAGGTAAGCATCACGGACGCAGGCTGGAACTTGGATGGGTGATCTAAGGCAGGCTCAGGACCTGGGTCGCTCAACATCTTCCGCCTGCGTGTGGTCTCCGATAAAATGGTAATGAAAATAGAGCAATAAATCTCTGTAACCCAAGACCATAGATAAAAAATTGTCATCAAGCCACCCGTGTGGTAATAGGATGGTTTGAAGAAAAGTACTCGAGTACTGTAAGGGGGGTGTATAAGGGGCCTAATAAGGCCTAAGTGCCGCGATGGGGAAGCCAAATGAAATGTAGTTTTCATTTAATATTAAAATTATGCAAAAATGTGATTGATACAGTTGTACCTCAAGTAAAACTATACGTCTCAAAATATTAAAGTTGCATTTACTTTACTGTTATTTTTCAAATATCGTCATTATCGATGCATATTTTCTTATAGAAACCAGGAGATACTTCACAAACCCCATTACCGGTGTTAATATGGATACACGGAGGAGGATTTGTAGGTGGATCTGGCGCTATTCAGGAATACAAACCTGGATTCTTCATTGATCACAATATTGTTGTTGTCACGCTAAACTACCGTGTTGGAGTTCTAGGTAACTAATAAATATAATATATGTATAAACACTTTAAGTAAAAATAATAACAATAACGACATAATTACAATTTCATTAGTTAGGGCCCTTAGAAGAATATTTGTAGAGCTAAAAATTTAGAGGTAATGAAACAACTAAAGAAGTGCAAAATTGGTCAAGCAGGTTTTTCGTAAAGAACATCTCCAAGGAGGAGGACTGTGTCAGTAAATAAGACGAACGGTTTCTATAAGCATTCTTATATAATCCAGTAAAGATGTCATTTTATAAATAAAATCCAAACAGGATGATTTTTTCAGGGTTGCTTGGGGACTGCCTCCTGAGTATCCAACCAAAAGATCACACTCGAACTCCTGGTACGAATTGCGCTATGGGGGTGGTTTCCTAAACATTTTTTTACAGCAAAATGACCTTGTAGAGGATCAAATTCTCNCACAATATTGTTGTTGTCACGATAAACTACCGTGTTGGAGTTCTAGGTAACTAATAAATATAATATATGTATAAACGCTTTGAGTAAAAATAATAACAATAACGACATAATTACAATTTCATTAGTTAGGGCCCTTAAAAGAACATTTGTAGAGCTAAAAGAAGTGCAAAATTGGTCAAGTAGGTTTTTCGTGAAGAACATCTCCAAGGAGGAGGACCGTGTCAGTAAATAAGACGAACGGTTTCTATAAGCATTCTTATAAATATAATCCAGTAAAGATGTCATTTTATAAAAAAAATCCAAACAGGATGATTTTTTCAGGGTTGCTTGGGGACTGCCTCCTGAGTATCCAACCAAAAGATCACACTCGAACTCCTGGTACGAATTGCGCTATGGGGGTGGTTTCTTAAACATTTTTTTACAGCAAAATGACCTTGTACAGGATCAAATTCTCAATAACTTTTCCATATAATTTTTGTATGTCTAATACTTAACGAGTTACTGCGTATTATGTGACAAAAGTTGGTCTTGTAAACATGTTTTTACAAAAAAAATTTATAAAGAAAAAATGTTCAGAATTTGATCCTCTACAACAACTTTTATGAAGGTAATTTTTGTGTGAAAACGTGTTTACAAGACCACCCCTGCGGCATACAAAAAAAATTTATATGGAAAAGTGGTTCAGAATTGTATCCTCTACAACTTTTACGAAGGTCATTTTGCTCTAAAAAAATAACTCAATTCGTACAAGGAGTTCGAGTGTAATCCTTTGGTTGGATACTTAGGAGGCAGTCCCCAAGCAGCCCTGAAAAAAATCATCCTGTTTGTATTTTTTTGCAGTCCCTATAAGCCGAGCACAACTTTATTGAATTAATAATATTTAGTATTATACAGTGTGTTCACGGATTGAGTGCACGTGGGGTATAAATGGTAAAAATTTATTGAGTTGAAATTTGAGCCTCTGGGCATCATCTCTGCTTGGCCTTAAACTAGGAAGTTGAAAAAATTAGTCTAATTAATTAATGTTTTTATGATGAATTTTCAAAAATTGTCAAGAGAAGTTGAAAATTGAGAAAATTGTTGATAACTAAAAGTTATGACAGATTGTCAATTTTCAATTTGATAGGCCAACTTAATTTTTTTTATTTTTCACAACCGCAAAGTACAAATTCCTATACAAACAAATAATATAATGGTTATTCAACTATGCTACCACCAACTATTACACATCGCTCAGCGCGATTATTAAATTCAGTGTAGGTGTTTTGGATTTCTTGAATGATTTCTTGAATTAATTGTATTTTCTATTCTTCGTTTCAAATTATTCAAATATCTCGTTATTCAACGGGGACCCATAGACTTTCTGTTTGAGATAGCCCCAGAAATAAAAGTCTATTAGAGTGAAATCAGGAGTTCTAGGCCAAGAAATTGGGCCAATTCGCCCAATCCACCGCCCAGGAAATTTACCATCTAGCCATTGTCGAATGATTCGCATTGAATGCGCTGGGTGTCTATCTTGTTGAAAGCAAAGAAAAAACAAAGTTGGCAGATCAAATTGAAAATTGACAATCTGTCATAACTTTTAGTTCTCAGTAACTTAAGTAAATATTTTTGATATTTTTAAAAACAAAGTACTTTACTCTTGACAATTTTTGAAAATTCATCTTAAAAACACCCTGTGCATTAATTATCTGGACTAATTTTTTCAATTTCTAAATTTAAGGCCAATCAGAGATGAAGCCCAGAAGCTCAAATTTCAACTCGAAATATTTTTGTCATTTTCACCCCACATGCACCCAATCCGTAGACACACCGTATATAATAATTGGTCATTTTACAAAAAATTATAAAAAAAATGGGAATATGATAATTTTAAGATATTACGAATTAAGATTAAATCAGATGTAGTAGCACCTTATATTTTTTTCATACAGATGACTAAAAACGAAATTTAAAAAAATGAAAACCATTCTGGGCTTATTGCAAGAACAAAAAATAATTATACAATTGTTTCTCCAAGTGACATAATAAACTCTTCTGTAGATTTTTTCATACAGACTTATTCATATGATACTTCAGAAAGGGTAAAAATATACAGGGCGTCCCGGTACTTGATACAAAAAAGTCGTGTACAAATAGATGAGGTCAAAATAATATCAATTCTTCATATATTTTTTTCCTACGGGCCTTCGTTAACAAGTTACGGGCCCTCAAAGGTGAATATTAAAAAGTTATTTTTATTTACAGTTTCTAAACCATTACCTTCAGCATGATGCAAATTTGATGATCGATAACAAATGCGTACAGTTTGTTTTTAAAGTTGTAAGTGAAACTTCATTATGCCCAGAACGCCAGGGATGGACTATGGCCAATGGTTGACAACCCAGAATTTTTGTATAAATGACGATCGCAATCTGCCTGTACCAAAAATACGTTCCCCGAAGAATTAGCCAACGATAATACACCCTTGGTTCAACTCGGTAAAATTAACAGTTTAGGAAATATTTTTGATTTTATGTCACAGTGCACTTCGAGCGGCGCCTCCACCATTTTCTTGTTTTTAATTTTTAACTGGACATTAGAACAGTATAAATTTTGAAAATAAGAGTCTAGAAAGTCTTCCTGTCTATTAATATAATATTTCACTAACAAAATTTGACAAACACACTTTACACATAACACAAAATAGAAAAAACAAGAATAAGTTAAAGTATGTATTCAAATATCCATGTCTATTCAGACGTTCCTCAAAAACGTATGGACCTATTGAATTATTAATCGGTGCTGATCTTTTGTTAGCACAGTACCATGCTGATTCTCCTGTGGGATATCTGAAAAGTTTAGTGTACTAAACCCCAGTACAGACAAGGGATGAATTGCTACAAAGAATTAATTTCTATTGTGAAATGGTTCTTCATGTACAAACAAATAACATTGGTAGACTTAAGAAGTGTGTGGAGGTGGAAGGTGCCCATTTTGAAAATGTATTTTAATAGTTTTCTTCCTTTTAAATTATTTTCTTAACTTTATCTTAGTCTTATTTTGGGTTGTGTAAAGCCTGTTTGTCAAGTTTTGTTAGTGAAAATTATATTAGCTGACAGTGAGATTTTATAGGTTCTTATTTTAAAAATATGTACAATTCTAACATAGCAATTATGTCCAATTAAAAATTAAAAACAAAAAATGGTGGAGACGTCGCTCGATGTGCACTGTGACATAAATTCAGAAATATTTCCTAAACTGTTAATTTTACCGAATTGAACCAAGAGAGTATTATCGTTGGCAAATTCGGTAAGGAACTTATTTTTGATACAGGCAGATTGCGACTGTCATCTATAGAAAAAGTCTGGGTTGTAAACCATTGGGCATAGTCCGTCCCTAGCGGTCTGGGCATAATGAAGTCTCACTTACAACATCAAAAATAAACACATTGTGCCAGATAACAAATTGAATTATCAAAATATTTAGTAGCGTCCAATTTGTGAGGTTTTTAGTGTAAGTAATCCCCGGTAT